TAGTGGGCACTAGTTGGTTCCTCTGAAGACAGCACGTTTTCTTGAGGTCTGTGGTTGTCTCTTCTGTGCATACTATAGCAAATCACTCTTTCAGAGGCTGTGTTTGAATCAATTATAACAGTTAATCGCTCTCAAGTTTAATGCGCAGCTTCTCCCAAAGGAAACTTGGGAATAGGAATAAAATGACATACATGAACTCCAGAGAGCAGAGAATATTGCAGGACAAAATCTTTCAAAATGAGGCCATCCCCTTGAGGGAAGAAAAATACTGTGTCTTCGTCGAGAATGAATCTATAAGCAGAAGAGTTCACAGAGAAGACAAATGGAAACTCCCTGTAAAGTTTAAGCAAAGGTCAAATATAGCAAGCTCTCCTTCAGTGCAGAGTGGAGCTCATGGGCTGAATAAGAAGCGGCAGCAGGAGGTATTCAACAGTGTCTAATGCACTCTTTTCTCTTCCAAGGGGAAGTTGATTAGCTTTTTTAAAAATCTTTTAGAAAATTACCTTTTAAAACGCTCTTACTCTTAAAAGTGATGCTCAGACTGGCGCTGAGGATCACACGTGTGCTGCTTTCCAATTTCCGCCCCCTGGATTGGCTTGCTGATGTGCAAGGTAAGAGGTTTTTGCCCCATGTAGCTGCCCTACCTCATGTCTGGGCAGCAGAGTGGGTTTGATTAGTGGCCCCGGCGCTGTGAACAATGCTGTCCTGCTGTGGCCAGGCTGGGGGTGCCTGTGGGAGTTTTGCCCTCCGTCAGCTGCCCTGAGGCTGTGATGCTTTGTACAGAACCTGGTACTGTGGTCACTACTCTTTTTTTTCTTTTTTTTTCGACATAATTTAACCCTAGCCCAGTGGTCCCAGTTTCTGTTGGCTTTTAGGCACCCATGTGGACCAGTGTTGTACTTTACACCTTTGCAGTCCACCTGGCTGGAAGCAGCTGTGGTGGCGGATCTGGTCCCTGGCTGCTCACGGTGCATCATTTCCATGCAGCTGCAAGCAGGTTCCCTGCAGTCCTCTGGCACCTCTTACCTTAAATTAATGGGGAAGCGTTAAAGCAGGCTGATAGTGCTACTCCATTAGCTTTGTCCCTGTGCTCCTCTCGGATCAATGTTCCCTCTAAAGCGGAGCCATTACGCGGCGTGTGGCTCCCAGGGGTGTCGCGAGCCAGCTGCTTCCCCATCCGGCACGGGGACTGTCAGCAGCCAGTGGGCCCCAGGGAGCCGGGAGGTCCCCAAGGAGCTCTGCCCAATTGGTGGGCACAGTCTCTCCCTGCGGCTGGAATAAAGAAATGGAGTGGTGGGTAGTGGTTAGCAGCAGGCAAAGTGTTCCCCTCGTGGCCTGGGTCACGGTTGCATAGAGGAGGCTAATGAAATCAGGTAATTAGTTAGTTTGTTAATGAGTTGGGGCAGGGAAATTTTGCTTCAGCTGTTACAGTATCAGTGGCTTTGGGGGCTTGTAAAAGTTCAGGGCTTCGGGAGGATTTTGCTTGCTTTGTGTCCCCTTGCAGCAGTTTTTCAGTGGACTGGCAGATTCTCTTAAAAACAAACAAAACCCCCAGCCCCTCTTGCCTAAAAACCATGCTGCCATTTGATTTACTTATTCATTTTTTTGTGGCCTGATGCTTCAGACTTCAGCCTGTTCTGGGACTGTGTCTGTGACATGAAATAAAGAGACTGCACGGCTCTTGCGCTGAATATACTTTACGTAAGGACTTCTGTATATTTACGATCCCACTGATAGTGTGTGGAGTCTGAGGAGAAGAGCCAGCAGTTCATTCTGTCGATTTGCTTTAAATTTCACATTTATATTTGTGTGGTGGGAGGTAACCATGTATTACTGCTATTGCCCTATACTAGTTCAGCACACACAATTAGATATGCTGCCTTCCTTTTGCTCTCACTCTTGCAGGAATCCCACCTTGCCGGGGATCTGGCTGTCCTTGCTCTCCTGCTCCTGCCAAAGCAAGTAATGCCTGGAGAGCTGAAGCATCACAGTTTCCCCCCCGCCAAGGTGTGAGGCTTGTATTGTTCCTTCTCTGACTGCCCTGCAGTGACGTATTTCTGCACTTTTAAAAATTTGGAGCTTACTTTAAAATAGCAGTGGTTAGGAGGAGACTAGGAAACTGGGTTCTTCTGTTCCTGAGCTTGCAACAAGGACTCAAAAAGGGGGAAAGATTGAAACAGGATTTCTGAGCTGTTGTCCTAGGACTGTTTGTGGCCCAAAAGACTTTGGCAGATGGTTCATGAAATCCTTCCCTCCCTGCAAAAGCACACACGATGCCGCCCCTGCAAATGAGCAGGCAATCTGTTACTTCTACATTCTCTCACTTTATTTAAAGTTCAAATCTCAGATGGGTTTTTATTTGACTAGAATGTGACAATCATTTCACCATGACTTCACAAGATGGGACGCAGGATTGGGTTTTTTTTCCTGAAAAGGTTGATTGGTCCTGAGTAGATAAATAGGTAAAAACTTGGGTGCACTGCTCAAACTTTCCACCTCTATCTATGAAAATTTCATCTGCTATCCCATGTCAAGGCTAACACAGTCCTGTTTGTGGTTTCATCCCTGGCAGGAGCCTGTGGTACCCAGATACCATGTGGCTGTGAGGATGTGGCTGAGCCGCAGCTCCCTTGCAGGAGCTGGGAGCAGAGGGGCTGCAATACCTTCAGTGATGGGTGGGAGACGAGGCAGCCCCGGTCCGCCTGGCCACTTTGTTGTTTGAAGCATGCTCTTGGGTGGTGCCATTGTTCGTGCTGTCGCTCTGGCCCTCCTTCCCATTCAGTGTGTTTCAGCATCCTTAGGGAAAAAAGCCTTCATCCTGGAGTTGCTCTTCTCTCGGGGTTCAATAGGCTTCACCAGCTGAAAGGCAGGCTTTGTAAAGCGAAGGGGGGGGCTTTTCACGGAGCTGGGGAGAATCAAAGGGAGTCATCACAAACGGCAGCTTAAAATATCTGACCTTTTCCCACTTCTCTCCTCCACTTTACATGCCCATGCAGAACGGGAGTGCACTGATGCTGCTTTTGTGGCACCGCTCGTACTGTGCCCGCTGTCCTGTAGCTTTTGTGTACCTTGTGTTTCCCCAGGGTGGTTTCACGGCAGGTCTCATCTCCGACCTCTCTGCAGGTTTGGAGGGCACCTTGTGGGGAGGAGGTCTGCAGACCCCTGTGCATCCTCATGCTCTCCTGCTGATCTGCCCATTGCAGGGATGGTGGTGCCAGCCAGCATAGAAAGAACATGGGACATGCAGACTCATTCTGCAGTGGTGGAGTCCTGGGTGTCCCAAATGCCCTTGTTTGGGTGTCCTGCTGCCCTGTGATTTCCTCCTAGCCCTGGCTGCTTGTATCAGGGGACTACCTGTGCGTTTTATGAGAGGGATGAGTGCTAAAGGAAAACCCAAAAGGCAAAGAGAACAGCCCCAAATGTAGTGTTTGTTTTTCTTACTCCCTTCCTCCATTTTTTTAAGCCTGCCACATGATTTAGGGAGGGCCGTAGGGCTGATACATTGTTCTGCAAGACTTGGGTTTGGCAAGGCAGAGAGGAAACACAGCCACGGGAGGGCAGGGAAGAAAAAAATCAGCTAAGATGCTGGAGAAACTGCTCTCCTGGCAGCGGGAACCACAGGTGCAGAAGGGACCCGTGGCAGCATCTCTTCCACTGCACTGTGAACCAGAAATGTCAGAGCCGGGATCCCAGGAGGTTTCTCTCTTACTCTTCATTGTATGGCAGCCTGAGCAAACAAACTGTACTGCTCTTGATAATGAAAGAGGTGACATTACTAATTTATTTGCCCACCCAAATGCAGGATGTAATAGAACAGAATTAATCTCTTATCTTTACACATCAGATGCTTGTAGCTTTGGGCAGTGGGTGTGCTTTTAGCCTCCAGTGTGCGGCTAACTGGGAGTTTAACTGGCTGCCTTGGTTTGATGTGTTATGAAGATAAATGAGGTGCAGCATGGAACGGGTATTTTATGAGTATGTGGTTGGTTCCAAGCCTGGATGCAGGTGGTGGGATGAGGCTCAAGGAAAGAGGGGTTGGTGTTAACTGCAGTGCCTTCATGGTATTGGCAATTGGCTGAGCTCCCTTCACGACCCAGCATGGATGAGTCCAGCAGAATAGCACAGGGTGGTTCAAAAGTTGAGTGTCCCAGCAGCTGCGATACCTCAGGGAGTTGTGCCTCAGTGGTCTCCTAGAGAAGGAAATGGCTGCAAATCCATCTACAGCAGGGACTGCAGCAGTGGCCACAGCGCTGTTGGCTGAGTCTCGGGACAGTGGCTGCGAGGGAGAGCTTTAATGAGGTGTTTTGGATTCCTTCTTTCGATGTTGCAGCTGGTTACCGAATCATCTGTATGCTAATGAGCTGATTTGTGTCATTAACAGAGCCCTGTTAATCAAGATCTCCCATGGTAATGGTACAGCTACAATGCTTGCTGTATTTTAGGCCCTGATTTTTTTAATTAGTAATGATGTGTATGATGCTCATCCCTGGGCACCTGCAGTGCAGCCCATGTGGCTGCTGCGCTGCCTCGAGATGCAGAACCAGGGTCTTAGAATTTACCTCCAGAGGGGAGGTGTTTCCTAAACGTCTGACTAGAGCCGTGGAACACAGAGTTTTTGAGATGCCACGGCTTTCAGCAAGGAAGGAGCGGGGAACTTCTCGAGCCCCGTCCTGCCAGTGTGAGTTTAACCCGGCACAGGGAGACATGCCAGTCACACCTGCAGCTCAGGGGTTTTGGTGGCCACAGGGGCACTTTGATGCCCAAAAATCTTGCCTGAAGTTTCCTGCCTTCCCTCCCACAGGGCAGGTATTCATAAAGGAGTGAGGCTGCATCCTTAGGGCAGCAGTTTGCTTTCAGATACTTGCATGAGCAATGCGAGAGATGGGGGTGATGGGATGACAGACCAGCTCATGTGCAGGTGCTAGTGTGCATCTGAGCTACTTTCCTGCAGTGTTTCTGGTCCCAACACTTCCTCATGCTGCTGTGTTTGTGTTTTCTAGATCAGCCGGTTATGTGGCCACACTCAGCAGAGGCAGTATCGATCAGCTAGTTACCCTGAAGACCTTTTCATTGACAAGAAAGTCCTGAAAGCGACTCTCATCGAACAAGAAGAAACTTTGTCGAGCAGGAGGAGGTGAGAGTGCTCAGGCTGAGCCTGGTGCCCATGGAATGGGCTGCAGGTGCTGTTGCCGTATGGGTTGGCCGTGTGGAAGCTCCTTATTTCCCTTATCCATAAAAGTGCAGCTGGTTTTGACTCTTGACTATCGGAGCTGCTCTATGGCTGGCTATGAAGTGCAGCAAGGTATCTACATCTGTTTTCTCACCTAGTGCGTCTTTTTTTTTTTTTTTTTTTTTACCCCGTAAAACTACCTCCTGCTTTTCATCTTTGTTTTGCTTTTTTGCAATGCACCAGGCACCCAGGTTCATAAACCAAATGCCTTGTCTAGTTTCTGCTATAGTGCCAGAAATACTCACAGGTGTAGTTATAGGTAGAAATGGTTACTCTGGCCTTAAGTGTTGCATGTAACACTGTGTGTAGGTAAGGGGGACTCATTTAACTCCTTTTTGTGCAGGCTATTATGATAGTTCAGGAATGTTAATAGCCTTTTACTGAATATTTCCAAAGTGAAGCGGGTGCCTCTGTTGCTGGCACTGCACCCTGTGCTTCCCTCTGTAAGTAGAGGCTGTAATTCAGTGGCCTCACACTGGTGTGTCAGGGAGAAGCATCTGTCCACTGTCTTGAATACAAGAAAAATCCCTGTGAAAGAGAAGCAGGCAAGCTTGGCAAGTGGGGATAGACTACGTTGGATGGATCTCTTTAAAGAGTAACAGGGCCACATTCTTGATATGGTTCCCATGAGATATTGCACCAGGGCTTGCATTCCTCTGTTGTCTCAACATGTTGGAGGGTTACACAGCCCAGGCTCTGCTGGAGATGTCCTTTGAGGACTGTGAAGTCTAATGAAATCTGCTGCGATGAATCATATGAGCTCATACCTGCAGATACGGAGGAGTTTCTCCCTTTCTTTCCCCTCCCTGCCTGGTTGGGATCTCTGCTCCCCAGGAAAGTTTTCTTCCATCTGTTCTCCCCGGCGCTGCCGGAGTGTGCGGGACGTGGAGCAAGGCAGTGCCTAGGATGTAAGGAGCTGAGTGCGATGGGCAGTGTAAGGCTTGTCCTGCTCAGGGTTTGGTGTAACTGAAGACCCAGGTCTTGCCTCATTTTGGCTTTCAAGATGGTGTTGGTTGGACCTCCTGCCCCATCTTAAGCCCACTGCAGGAGGTGGCTGTAGGAGGTGAATGTCTGAGGCACCTCTCCAATTTGTGCAGGGGGGTTGTGGGCTGAACTCCCACCCTTTGAAGGGGCTTTGACTTCTCAGGCAAACCTTTGTTCCTTGGCATGGACAGTGACGGACTTGTTGGTGCTTGCGATACCCTCTGCCAGGCTGCATTGCGGTGACCCGAGGGAGGACTGGGGTGGCCCTCGGCCTCCGTCGGCTGCCGGCTCTGCCTGGGCGGGCTGTGTCAGTCCGATCAGCGCAGAAACAGGCTCCTCGTTAGCAACACGGCAGAGCAGAGCAGAGCAGCGCAGGCTGCCTCGGCTGGCGCCGGAGCGTCTTGTTTCGCCTGCCCCCAGCTGGCAGCCGGGGGCTTCGTCTGGCGGGGGAACCCCACGAAATCCCGAAGCAAAGAGGGATAGAGGGAGCTGGGCGACCCTCTCTGCACCCCAGCCTGCCTAAGCTTACTCTGTCTGACAGCCTGGCGCTGCTGAGCAGCTCCCCACAGCTGGCAGGGCATGGAGGACCCACCAAGGGGATGGCCCTGACAGCGCTGCCAGCTTGATGTGCTGATCCCTCGTCATCCCGCCCAGGGAGGAAGGAGGCCAAGAAACAGCTGCTTGCCAGAGGGGGAGGCGCGCTGAACCCAAGCCAGGAGACTGTGAGGCCAAGTCTTCCTTCTTCCAGTCCCTACTATTTGTATTATCATACCTTCTGTGCCATTTACCTAATTAAATCTGCCAGTGTTTCCTAGTGACAGCTGCTGAGTTCCTCTGAGGGGATGGGTGCATCCCATTCCCGCAGCCCTTGTCCCCTTTCTGGTGGCTCTTCCCGGGCTTAGCCTGTGTCCTGGCACCTCTGGACTGCTGCCGATGGGGACCACCCAGGGTCAACAGTCCTTGGTGCTGGGAAGTGGGAGTGCAGGGTGGAGGTGCAGCATGATTTGCATCTCTCTGTGAGGTGCTCCTGTGGCTTCTCCTGACTTCCCGGGGCAGAGCTGAGTGTTACCTGCCCCTTTGAATGCAGACTGTGACCCCACAGCCAGCCCAGCGGATGCCCTGAAATCGTGTATTTTCAACAGTGCAGCGTGAAACCCAGCATTACCCATCTGTACAGGTCTCTTCTGAGAGTGTCTGCCCTGGTCTGCTACCAAAAATGCCACCTGCCCTCACAGGGATGTTGAATGGCAGACAAAGAGACAAGGCTGTCCTTTCCTGAAGGGCCTCCGTTGCCTTACGCAAAGCGGAGGAGACTGCTGGCAGCCAAAGCACTTACTGCTCAGGTGCACCCTATGTATGCACAGCCTGTGACAGCAGCACCTTTCCTTAGGTGCTGTGAGAGCGCAGAGAGTATACGTGGCTTTGGCATGCTGCACGGTTGTGCTGAGGTTCTGCTGCTCCAGTACCCCCCCCCCAACACAGGCAGTTTTGCCCTACGAAACACGGATTCAGCCCTCGACTGAATGACATCAGTGGACTATGCGAAATGCTACTCGAGGTCAGAAATAAGACCAATGCTTCATGATTTGTTTGCACCATGCTATTTTCTTGTGTTTGTGTGACTAGCTGATTAAAATGCACCAACCCCATCTTGTCCTCTTTTAACTGAGCACCATTTCCTCCCCTTTCTTCCAGGGAGCTCATTACGAAGCTGAAGTCCCACAGCAGTTTTTACAGCAGCTTGCCAGAGTACATCTGCAACCACAGCTCTGCTGTTCAGAATGACACTCTTTGCTGGAATGGACAAGAAGTCGTGGAGAGGTGAATCATATCTCCCTTCCCCTCCCTCTCCCCAGCACTGCTTATCTTTTGTTAACCAGCTGCAGGAGTGGTCTGTGACCAGGACACTGCTCATTCCCTTAAGAAACCTTTTGCAGAGCTGGTGTGCTGCAGCTCAGACGAATGTGCAAAGTCTACACAGAGAGGAGAAGTGGTTGTCTGCTGCCCTCCACTGAGTTTTCTGTACTCTGCTGTGAAAACCCTGCAGCCACGACTGGTTTTGGTCAGAGTGCGTTGCTCATGGTGAACCAGAGAGAAGTGCAGCAGCAGCTCAGCACAGCCATGCTCCTGTGGGAGGGTGCACCACAGTGCAGGGGTAGCTCCTGCGGAGTAGCAATGGGGACATTGCCACCATGTACTGTGTTGGTGTCGGGATGTCTCCACCCTGGCTCCGTACAGTAGTAGCAGGACAGCGTGGCTGGCATCCTCTGTCCCATCCAGGGAATGGCAAGGAAGACCACCTGGTTGGGTTTCTCCTTGGCCTTGGCTCTGTGCTGGAGGAGGTCAGGACTGCTAAGCTGTGGTGGTGCTACTGCTGCCATCTGACCATCTTCCTGCCGACCGAGCCCTGGCTATCCTCTCTGGTTGGAGCCATTCGCACCAGGGTCCAGCTTGTGCCCCAGCTGCTTTTCCCTGCCCTGCTCACCAGTTCTGAGGATTCCCTGGTGGTAACTGTCAGGTTAATAAAGACAGGCAAATGCAGGATTCATAGGATAAAGGGGAAGGAAGTGTTAATAGAAATGGAGATTTTTCTTGCAAAAAATGCCCCTCGGGAATGTTACAGAATGTGGAAATAGAACTTGGAAATGTTTTTTATAATTATACATAAATCTCCTCTAATCACCCTACTTTGCAAAGCCTTCTTTGCTATTAAGTACTTTGCATAAGGGAAGAAATAGAAATAAAATCAAGAAGTGGTGAAACATTGAGGTATTAATTATGACTTCTTGATCAGTAACCTCGGGTGGTAATTAGCCTATACTTGCAGTACTGACGTGAAACACTGACGGGACCAAAGTGGCATCAAACTATATTTTGAAAAAAAAAATTGCTCAAGCATCTAAGATCACGCGCTTACTAAAATGTACTTACTTTGCCTAAGGAAAAATGTGTCCTCTATCTGTATTTATTTCTGGAAAATCTTGAGTTTCCATGCCTAAGTGAGAAATTCAATTGGAAAAAAAAGATGATTTCAAAGTTGTCTCACTGATTGTTAATTAAAACTTCTTAAACAGTGCTATAAACACTGCAGCTTTGCAGAGGAGGACCTAGGGTGAGGTCTTTGCTTATGACAGTTCACCAGGGCCACAGCCAGGGGCCCTGATTCAGATCCTCCAGATGCCACAGCTGGGTGAAGTGGCAGCAATGGAAAGGTGCTGAGTCCAGATCCTCCCATAAATGTAAGTTCAGAGTTATTTGCAAACATGGCTTTAGATGATAGTCTTCTTCAGCTTTCTGCTGAGAATACTAATGGACCGTCAAAGGCAGAGGTGTCACGCTGGGTCCCCTGCTGCAATGCCGCGGTGTTGGTGGCACGGTATGGCAGGTCACTTAGGTGCCGTGGCATGCAGGGGGGACAAGGCAGGGAGCGGATAAAGTGTGCACGCATGAAAGGGTCACCAAGATTTCAGCCCCTGGCGCCTGGCTGTTAAGTTGAGGATTAAATCCTCTGCTGTGCTTGAAGTGAGCATGCCTTTCCACTCCTCTCCTCCTTGCCCCCTCTGATCTATTGCACAGATGTCACCACCTCTGCCAGCTCCTATGAAATATTAGTAACAGCTCCCTTTGCTGTGAGTGGAGAGGGGTGCTGAGAGTTAAATCCCCCATCCTCTCGCAGTGACATCAGTGGTGTCCTAGAAGGGGAAAGGCTTGCTGGCTGGGCAAGAAAAGCAGTGTGGGTGGTGGCTTACACAGAGGAGGAGATTTGGACCCCTGAGAAGGCAGGGTGTTTAGGAGGGAGGGCAAATGGATGCACAAAAGGGAAATAATTGTTGCCCCTTAAACGCATCAACTGCCTTCCCACCTTGTGTTTTTAGCATCTGCATCCATAATGCTTCCCGGGGTGACCCTCTCCATAGGCTGAGAAAGTGTCTCATACCTGGTGGCGTTTCTGCCAAGGGAGCTATAGGGGGAACTCAGCTAAATAAAGCTGAACTAAGATAACGGTCCAGGGTGCTCCTTCCAGGACCTGTTTGCAGAATGTTTCAAATAGAAGCAAACATGTAGTTAAAATGGTCTCTAAAGCCAATTGCATTGCTTCATGTGGAGCCAAAACTGCTTCACGTGCTTGGACTTGCCAGCATGGCATCTCTTTCAGAGAGTCCGGGAAGATTCCTGAAAATCAGGAGCATTTAAGGTAATGGTGCTTGAGTACCCAAAGCCACCGGTTTCTCTGTTTCAGTGTTTTCCCCAAGAGGGAGCCAAGCAGCTGTTCACCATGTAGGAGCTCCTTCACAAGCTGCTCTGAGAATGTGCATTATATACTGGAGTGTTTCTGGCGTGGCTACAGCAATTCTCCTGCTGGACTGATGTGCACTTGTTGGTCATCAAACTCCATCTTGCCACTTTTTGCAAGAAACTTGATGTTTTTTGAATATCTAGTATTAATTTCAGGATGCTGACTTAGTAGTTGTCCCACACATGTAACGGCTGGCAGAAAGAAGGATCTGATGTTCTAGGTTTTGTACATGTGAAATATGCTTTGTATCTTAATGTTTCCCTCTTGCTGCTTTGGGTACTGGCTTTTGCAAATCAGATCTTCCTGGCTGAAAGTTCATCAGGCTGGACAGGAGGAGATGCTCATGCCTTGCACTTAACCTGCTGTGTCTGGTTGCTGTAGCTGGATACTTTTCACCTCGAAGCAGGGTTGAGCTGCCTGAGTGGGGGCACCACGTGCAGCCTGAGACCCTTTTGAGTTTCTGGGACATTCATAGGAAGATCTAAGACCACCCATGTCCCTGTGGAGTGGCAGCTGGGGCTTGAGGGAGACACCTTGCGATTCCTATAGCAATATGAGGTGCCCACGCTAGGCGTAGATTAGAAAGCACCTGCCAAAGCTGCTGAAAGCTTTGCAGCATGAGGCAAAGACCAGAGGAGAGCGATGGTTGGGTTGCTGCCATGTTTCCATGTCTGGTGCTGTGCAGACGATGGATAAAACTGCTGGGCATTGCTGTATCAGTGGGCTTGGCATGAGCATCCGTATGGGCATGTCTGGGCTTTGGTGGTGTTTCCGTAGGGTTTGTGGCTATTTACCTCCCACATCTTTAAAGCAGTACCCAAGTGTTAATTAAGTTAGAGAGGAGCCCTACTGGTTTACCCATTTCCTGACCTCTCTGTCATGACAAAATTTGCTAGTTATTTTAAGCCCTTTTCCTATAACACATTAAATCAAGCCTGGAATAGCAACTTCACAGCCTCTTGCCAATGCACTCGACTACTAGATAATGCTGACAAAGTGTATCCTGCTATTTGACGCACACAGTCCCTTCTGCACCCTACGGTCTTCCTATTGTGGAAGGACTGGACGTGCTCACTGCCTTTCCACTGGGTCTTATTTCCCAGTTTGAGCCTTGAACTATCCTCTGTTTCCTCCTTGCCCTTAACTCCCTCTGCCCTGATTGAACATGGCATGTTTGCCTGGGACTGTGATGCAATACAGCTGACTGGGTATTTTATTGTGCTTTTCTCTTGACACGATGAACCATTTCAGTGCAGTTCTGTGCGGACTCTGCTTTGCTTGTCGTGGTGATCGAGGTCTGACTCTACTTGAGCTATGTTCTTGTTTCATCCCTGACTCTGAGATTTCCCACTGGTGGAGGTGGGTTATGCATGCAGCAGGTGTGCTCCGTGCCTGGTGCAGCGCCGTGCAACCCCCCTGAAATTAAGAGCTCTGAGGACCTGCTTGACTGAGGACTTTCTACGCCTCGGCTTGTGGTGGGAATGACATGCAATGTGCGCTGCTGATGGGTCAGCATCACGCATCCTGCTTTGTGTATTCTAGTACATTTAATGTGATTCATCCCTCATTTTCTCTTACTGAGTCTTACTTTATCATCCATTGTGAATCTCATTTACTTCTCCAGGTTGGACCATCTAATGGCAAGAACTCGTCCTCCTTCCTGAGGTTTGATCTGTGGGTTAATAGTTTGATTCCCATCCCTTATGTGGGTTTAGGACATGGTGCCTTGAAATAATGTCTTGCAAACAGTAGCAACCATACAATGAAGGTTGATTTTTCTGGTCATGCAGAGCAGTGCCTGTGTCTTTTGCTGTGCTGTTGCTGCGTGGTTGAAGAACGTAAGCCAAATTGGGAAGAAAAAATAAAAGGCAACACATTACTGCTGTTCACACTTTTCAAAGAGTGCAAAAACGTACTGTGCTTTTACGGGACACCACAAAGGTTCACAGCAAAAGCCACACGTGGCACACTCTACAACTTGTGAAGAGATTGTTGAGGGGTTACGGTGCTTGGGCGTTTGTGGTAGCTGGGGACAAGACTGCTGGATCTCTCTCCGTCTCTGTGCATCCCTCTGCACCTCTTTGCAGCATTCCTGGGCTCAATTAGTTGACAAGCACTTCCCTGAGATAGCAGAGGGATGGAAATTAGACAGGGTGGGTGTGCAACAGCTTAAACTTGCCAAAGTGAGAGTTACCATCATGCCCTTCTTTGTCTCTGTTTGTCTTTATGCCCCATCCTCCCACCTGCCCTCATGCTGGTGGTGTTGGGTGGTGAGATGATGTTGTCCAGCCTCTCTTATCCTTATCTCCATCCAATGTAAAGAAAAAAGAGGGTGATTCTTACCACTGAAGTCCTGACTGAATAATTAGCTCATTTAAAGACTTCAGCTTAAGTCAAGTGGATGTTGAGATATCAAACTCATCTCAGTTTCTATGGGAGTTAGGCATCTGAATCTCAAAGGTGATTTGAGCCTTATATATAGTATCAGGGTTTTACGCATTTAATACTAAAAGCCTATTAAAAC